CATCCAGTCCAACCCCATTCTGCCCTGCAGGAACTCTCAATCAAAGCACCCCCATTGACAGATGGCCATCCATAATTCTGTTTTAATGTATCACTTTTCTATGTTTTTAATTGTATTGTCCTTTTAATGTTGTGAGCTGCTCTGCATCCTAGTTCTGGGAAAAGAGCGGGATATAAATAATGATAATATTATTAATAACAATAATAATCTGGCCTCTGTTTAAAGACCTCCAAAGAAGGAGACTTCACCAAAATCTCAGAGGGAGCAGGGTCTTCCACTGTTGAACAGCTCTTACTGTCAGGAAGTTCTTCCTAAAGTTTTGGTAGAATCTCTTTTCCTGTAATTTGCATCCATTGCTCCATTGTGTCCTATTCTCTGGAGTAGCAGAAAACAAGCTTGCTCTATACTCAATATGACCTCCCTTCAAATATTTAAAGAGGGCTATCATGTCCCCTCTTAGCCTTCTCTTCTCCAGGCTAAACATCCCCAGATCCCTCGTGTATTTAGTCTGGAAATTCAGTCTGCAAAGAGATCTTGTAGCACCTTTGAGTCCAACTGGAAGAAAGAAGCTGATGGCTTGAACTTTGGTAGGCCTGTTCCTCAGATGCATGTTTCTACCTATCATGGGGTTTTCTTGGCAAGGTTCTTCACAGTGGGTTTGCCATTGCAATACCCTGAGGCTGAGAGTGTGTGACTTGCCCAAGGCCACCCAGTGGCTTTCATGGCCAAGCAGGGAATCAAACCCTGGTCTCCCAGTTTCCTAGTCCAGCACTCAAACCACTACATCACTCTGGCTCACTATCTATTTACCTATCTATGTTCTATCTGTCTTATCTATCTATCTATCTATCTATCTATCTATCTATCTATCTATCTATCTATCTATCTATCTATCTATCTATGGTGCATGTCCTTCTGTCTATTATATCATGTACCATTTTCTATAATCTATCTAAGAAGATACCTCTCTCTAATACTGTATGTCATTATCTATTTATAATCTATTTCTCCATAAATTTATGGCATAGAAGATCTCTCTCTCTAGTACCATATACCTCTCTCTAATACCATATGCCATTATCTATCTATCTATCTATCTATCTATCTATCTATCTATCTATCTATCTATCTATCTATCTATCTATCTATCTATCTATCTATCTTTCTATGGCATAGAAGGTCCCTCTCTCTCTCCAATACCATATGCCTCTATCTATCTATCTATCTATCTATCTATCTATCTATCTA